ACTACTACTGCTGCTGCAAGTATCAGTACTATTACCATAACTAATATTATGGTGACCTGCTTGAACATCTGGTATACTTATTTTTCTTACTGTTGAGTCGGCTTACGGAGAACTCTAACAGAGCCTTCAGAGGCTCATAAAGAGCCCCAACCAATCAGCGATTAATTAGAAGTTGTGTGAAGTTATGTTACTAAAATAACGAGATCCTGATTGGCTGATTAACACACTGCTACTATGTAAACTCAAGGTCTCTTAATTACTATAAAATCCCTGTATTTTCTGTACATAAAGGAACCATGTAGTAAAGTGCTTCCCTCACACTTTGTGCCTTTTCTCTGGTCTTCAAGTCGGTGTATAGTTCTAGCTCGGGGGTACGGAACTAGCTTAGGGAAGTGAATATAGTGTTCACAATTGACCAGACGTAACACTTACCGTTCAGAAATATTTCAACAAGTTTCCGATATTTTGTTTGTATTCACTTATCATTTATCAGAAGGGGGTTTTGTGGAGATTTTAGTAATTTTATATAGTTGAGATCATTAGTCAATTGAAGCTAGACCATCATGGAAAACCTGAAAGCACTGGATGGCCAACTCGACCTATTGTGGGACTCCTAAGCAGTGCGCATCCACGATCCCGCCTCGTGAGATTCGAACCCAGGACCTATCAGTCTCCAGTACTTCCAGGTTTTCCATGATGGTAGCTTCAATTGACTCATGATCTCGACTGTATAAAATCACTAAATTCTCCACACGAAAAACCCCCTTCTGATAATGATCATATGCTCACTAGTGACTGGCTCCATTAGGTATATCCTGGAGTTCTAGTGAGAAGCAGTAACCAATGGAGTTCAGCCAGATCTGTCAGGAGATATCAACTCACTGAAGACATTGTAAATGGTTGCTCAATTTCGTGGATTGGTGGAAGTTAGATATTAACACCGTTCGGTTTATCCGTTATGTGCTCGCGCGCGAGACTGATAGGTCCTGGGTTCGAATCTCGCGAGGCGGGATCGTTAATGTGCACTGCTGAGGAATCCAACATTAGGACGAATTGACCATCCAGTGCTTCCAGGTTTTCCATGGGTTGTCTAGCTTCAATTGACTCATGATCTCAACTACTTGTCATTCGTATAAAATAATACTTTTATCGCATTTACATAATACAGTAAAGTGTAATCAAGAAATAATTCAGTGGTTTGCAATATGTATTAAAAAAAGTAAATATTAATTAGATTTGCTTTTAATTACAGATCTCTAATGAGCAAAGTTAACTGAGCCCAAACATTTACTGTAATTATGGTGTAATCACAATTCAAAAATCTTAATTAAATGATTGAGATGTCGATAGTTTGGTACAACTACATGGTTTTTGGATTTGTCAGGTTCATTCAAGCAGTAGAAAAATGTACTCTAATGGTGCAGTCATGCCTGTTAATGTAAACTAGAATCACTTTATGTATGTATGACTTTATCAACTGCTTAACGTTTATATGTCGTTCAAGACACTTGGACAAATACTTCCACATTCATTCTATCAGCATTTATGCACCTCAATTTTGCCAACGGTTTTCGTTGATAATCTTACTGAACTTCCCGTTACTGAATTTATTGGTTCTCTTTGAAATAAATGTGGTGATTCTGATTCATGTGATTGTAACTTTACTTCATCTTTAGGTCATCAGAACCTCATCGATTTCCCCATCTTTTTTTTAGTTTTCCTTAATGATGTGGAAATATACGTGACTTGTAAAAGCTTACTACTGCTTAGTTTTGATTATTGAATTATTCATGCTCCTCCTAAATCATGTGGCAAGCTTAGTAAGAAATATTCTCTCACATCAGATAAAAAGTTCAAACATAAAAACTGCTAAGAGGAAAACATCCTAGATCTGAAAATCATGTTTTGAACTGTAAACTAAGACTTATACATAAGTGATTCATCGGAAGGTGCATATTATATCATCAGTTGTTACCTTAAACTCTATTTTGATGTTTGTGGTCCCATTGAGATCACTGCTTTAAGATCCCCACAATTGAAAAGATCTAGAAGGGAAAAAGAATATTTTGTAGGAAACTATTGATTTAAGAATGCTAAACGGTTCAGTAAACCATATAACCCGTACGAGTTTGATGTATGGTCACGAACTCTTGTCTCCAAAGATCTCTTCCAATGTACGGAAATTATTTAAAGAGCATAAATTTGAGAAAGGGATTAGTGAAGATACCAATTTGAATGTTGAAGACTAAAATAAGTCTTCTATACCTCACCCATTCTATTTCCAAAGTTTTACAGAAACTGACGTTACGAAATATCTGAAGTCACCTAATTCATAACAATGTTTAGTACCTGATAACATACCAAACCGTTTTCAGAAATGGATTGATGTTCTGTCATCCTATCTACGAGCATCTTTTATGAGTCTTTCCAACTAATTTTAAAAAGTTTGCCGGAAAATAAAGATAATGTCAGTGCAAGAGAGAAAATTCAGTGATAAGAATGAAATGTTCAAACTCAAAACAATAAATTCACTTTCTCTCAAAGCGATAAAGAAACTATTGATCTTCCCACCCCAGCCTGCATAAAAGTAGTGTTGATCCACATCAGTTTGCTTAGAAATGGCCTGAATGCTGGTATTGTCCTGTATCAGAATATAAGTTCCAGCCCGGAAAAAGATCAGAAGTACGTTCGGTGCGCATTTATGCGCCTTACTTCTACTTTTGACTCCCTTGCAAGACTTCTGTCATCGAACGAGTTTTTAAAACATTAACTCCGATAACTGGATAACGAACTGCCTATATTCTTAAATCTCTAGAAGAAAATGGTAAACTATACTTAAGGGAAAGTATTCTACTAGTTTATTAATTCACTTTGGTACACCATAATGAGCTGTCATTTCCCCTTTCCTTTATGATCTATTACTTCCCGCAAAAAAAAAAAAACAATTTTTAAGCATGGGAGTAATCATACTGTTTTTTCTTCTCCAAACCCCCTTAAATCGAATGAGTTCTTCAAGATCACTGAACGATGGTTTACTTTTAATAGTCTCACATTTAATCCTAAATGTCAAACCGTTGACTTTAGCTTGAAACTTGAAAAAAATACTTTGTTGGAGCCAAATGAAGTTTAAACCACTGAAGATTCCGTTACTAAAACTATACAGTAGGTCATTTATTTTGGTGCATGCTGATCAATTTTGGCCTTCTCACGTTAATTATGTCGAGGGAAGGTTTTCGTTTGACTCATTATGTGAAGAGGCTACATGATTTTACTATTACTCGACACTTTCGCAGTTTTTAAGTACTTGTATGATAACTATTATAGTTTACTGTTCCCCATTAAACTCTCCTAAGTTTATGGGAAAAGATTTTACTGTATTTCAGACAGTGCTGAAGGCATGAGTAAATTATGTGATAAATCTCCCGATCTCATTATGAATGTGGCTGTTGATAGACATCTTAAATCTTCTGAAGATCTGACAAGTGCTGACTCATCAGATACGAACCATCCATCTCATTTACATTTTTCTCCTTATACATCCTCCGATAGAACGAGGCCTAAATACACTAGAATCCACGCATAAAAACTAAAGTAAGGAAGCGCTATAATATCACAATTAACGCACTCACTTATATGACGAACAGGTTGTAAGAGCAGATTGAATCAATAACATATTAATGAACCTGTTGTTAATTCACTGTTGCGTAGATACTTGTCTTCTTACATCTATTTCATTTACATTTATATAATTTTATTTACTTATTTCACGTATGTATGAATGTAAATATACTTTATGCAAAAAGTAACTATCACATTACACTTATATTTAAAACATTTCCACCGTATATAAATATGATTTTACGTATTACCTTCTTCTCAATATACTTCAGTATTATAAAAGAGTATAGCACATTACAGTATGACGTAATCTTACTCAGGAGACAAATTAACAGGTTTACAATTTCGCTCTAACAAAATGAGCTAAAGAATCACGAAATATAATACTAATCCTTACGGAAGTAAAACTACTAACCATTCTGAAGAAATTACACTGATTGCCCTATTTAATACAGGTATCAAAAAAGAACTCCATTAACAAAAAAAGATTCTAGTTTCAGATAATAAGAAAAAAGTAGGGCTAATATAAAGGTTTAATATCTATCACTTTTTATGATAAATAAGTCAAGATCTATATCCTAAAATCTTCTTTTAAAATTTAACGCTTTTTACACATCAAGACAATATTGATTGTATGCTTTCAACAATTATACGAATAGGAACGAATTCGAAGTGATAAAGTCAGAGAATTCGATATTTTATAAATTTACACAAGTAGTAATTAGTAGAAGTGTGATGAAGTAACGATTACATCTTATCAGAAGGGTTTTTTTGGAGATTTTAGTTATTTTATATAGTTGAAATCATGAGTCAATTGAAGCTAGACAACCTGAAAGCACTGGATGGACAACTCGTCCTATTGTGGGACTGTTCAACAGTGTGCATCCACGATCCCGCCTCGCGAGATTCGCACCCAAGACCTATCGGTTTGGAGAGCGAGCACTTAACCGATAGACCACTGAGCCGGCCGTCATCCAACGGTGTTAATGTCTAACTTCGACCAATACACGAAATCGAGCAACCATTCACCAATGTCTTCAGCGAATGCGCACTGCTGAGGAGTCCCGCAATAGGACAAAACAGCCGTCCAGTGCTTCCAGGTTTTCCATGGTGGTCTAGCTTCCATTGGATCATGATCTCAACTATATAAAATTACATCTTATATTTCAACCGTTAAACACCATATTCAAAAACAAAGAGGGTGACTATTCATTAAAATCACATAATCTAATACAATTTCGATCATATCATAAGTGTGATAATTTGATCCACTGATAAAAACAGAATGTCCGATAACATTATCCTCCACAAATATGGACTGTTTAGGAGTGCATTTCTTCAACCCCAAAAGGAAATTAGAAATCGATTGTGCAGTAAAATGAATCAAATAGGGTTTTATTTGAAAATAAAATATTTATACATTGTAGTATTCAGAAGAATTTTTACAAAGATTTATTATTGTTTTTTTTATACTATTCACTTTGATTTAATTGGCATTCTAACTGAACACGAAGAGCTGGATCAACATGACATTTTATCAAAGCATCGGCTATTGTAGGACAGCCTACTTGATCTTGCCATAAACTGAGTTCATTTCTAAGTCGATGTTTTAAATTGTTCGATGTAGAAATTCCTATTGGATAAAAATGATAAAACTGAATATTTTCATCTTCTGTAAACACTTCATCTTCATCGTAAAGGACCTTCATAGAAAATAAATTAAAAAATAAATAAATAAGAATAGAGAATGTAGAAAATGGGAAGATACAAAAGCATATCAGCAATCCAGAGTTGACTGAATATAAAAAATTATTAACAAGCTTGTTTGCATTGATGAGGAGTTTTACGATAGTTTTTACTACTTAAAGGACGACGAAATATTACGAAATTAACCATACGAACTAGTAGATTCCAACTCAGTAGATTAATTACATCGTTCGCCCTCTGAGAGGCGAAGTTCCTGAGTTTCATTTAATGTGTAATGTTGAAGGGTGTTAAACTTGGTCTGTATATAGCTGCCTGATTTCAAAGGTTATCTATAGGTCTTTGCCTAATGTCAATTTGTGATTAGGATTATCAACAGAATTGTATTTTATAGTGACTTGTTATGAAAGTAATTTTAATCAATGATTTAAAAGGTTTATATGTATTGCTGGATAATAATTCAAGTATAAATAATCATAAGGACGGAAATCAATAGAAACACTAACAAAACATGGATATAGTGGGAAAATACGCAAAGATAAGATACGAAGATAACAAAAACTGTTTAAAATAACCAAAGATAACAATGATTCTTATATTAGGCTAATACCTACTTTTGAGATATTCCATACTACTTATTATTATTCAGTAGTTTGAGTTATGTTCAACTATTTCTATGGCTAGAATTTCGTAATCGAAGGAACCTATCGTAGTAACTTCACTATACTACACTGTTTTTGATATTTCAGTCCACTCACCTACTTGTGATAGCATCTCATCATTGTTTTACCATGCTTATTGTGTGTACTAATAACTAGATATTATGTTGACCTATCAGTCGATTCTCGAAACATAACAGTAAACTCATTTTGCTGATATTCCAACGCTTTTCATTTGGATGCTTTTTATGATGCGATTATCACCATGATATCTCACGATTTGAATTTTGTGAATTCTTAAAATTTATTCTGTCTCACTGAAATTTATCATACGTCCATAAAATTCTTGACTTATCTTTTCAGGATTAAAATCTTTAAACGGATTCTATGGGAATAATTACTTTACAAAATACATGTGTTTAATGACAGATGAGGATATTTTCAGCATAAAATATAGAAAAATACTGTACAAAAACCGCCCACAAACAAATACAATAAGATTAAAATTGAGCGTAGTGTAGAATATATAAGCAGATAATTACAAACCTGTATAATAAGATTGATGACCGGTTCAAGCCATTGAGCATGCCAACTGTCATTTACAGCCAAATCTTCTAAATACTTCACATCAAGTAGTTGATGATCGTTAATAGTGTATGACTGAACACCTTGTCTAAAACAAGTAATAGTAGCAACGGCTATACACCGTCGATCAATATAACTAGGCAAAGAATCCACACGTCCTAACCACCGACCAATCGGTGAACTTAACAAGTTTCTTAATTCATCCAATGTAGAACAACACTGCTGACCAATTGAATTATGATATCCTTGTAGCAATGAATGTAAATTAGGTTGATTGTTATTATCAGCAAATTTACGAACTAATTGTAATGTATAAGTAAAGTAAAACCTGAAAGATGGATGATAGGAGTTAATTTCAATAGTAGTCGTGTAAAGTGTGAGGTAAAACAAAAACAGTTGTTATATGAAGTTTATTTCCTAAATTAAATGTAATAAGCAGAATAATTATAATGAATTATTGATAACCAAGGGATTATTTCTGTTATGACGTGCAGTATCCGAGACTGATACTGACACACAAACTTCCCATATGAAAGCCCCAAACTCATTACTGAATAAGGAGACCAAGGATGAAGGAAGAAATTTATCAGACCTAATCGAATCAAATGCATGAGCACTCATTTATACATATATATGTCTAGTTTTTAGAAAAAAACAATTTCTTGGCCAATAAAATGAACTTATGATGGGAAATCTTTGATTAGCACATAGTGACCTCATTTCACAATTTTCAATTACCCCACTATATATATATATATATATATATATATATATATACTCTAACGTATAACTTTATGATTATTTACTAAGAGGTTACTCCATAAAATATCAATGCTTTGAAGATACTTATAGCAAAATACTTAGACCATATACATATATTATGTTGTTATACACCAAGTTTTAAAATCTAAAAAAACTAGGTACTGTTTTAAAAACTCTGTTAACAACAAACTTACCACATATTAGGATATAATACTAATCGAGAAAGAAGTTCCAGTCGAAGTTCCGTAGCTTTTGGTGTAACATCAGAATGTGCATTTTCAGGAGCACGAATCAAGCAATATTTAGCAGCTAAAAAAATTAAGCCAATTGCACTTGATGGTAAAGATGTAAACTTTTGTTGAGAATATTGAATGTCCAAATAAATTGTAAACCATATATTGAATAGTTTAAGTTGATTTAATCTTTGAATATTGAATATAAAATGATAAGGAATATAAACAATGAGGAATTAAAATGAATTTTATGAAAATTTATCATTGAAGAACTAATAAGTTGAGTTTATATATCACTCAAAATAACAAGAAAGTAAATATGTTAGTTTCTGAAAATGTTTAATTTGTAATTATCTTCTATTTTATATGACTAAAATATAAACACTACAAAAACCATACGATAACGATACTACTATTGTAGTGTCGTCTACTTATATCCATATAAGTAGTATATGGTGATGGTCAAACATAGAATGTATTTTGGCAAAAGACCGATAAGGAAAGAACTAAAATGAAGCGCAATCGGTACGAATATGCATGAACAATGAAATCAGAGAAGATGGAATGATATTTACAAAAGGAACAGTGAAGATTGAGACAGTTGGTTGTTATTTTGCAAATTAACTGTTTGTTGTATGGTTATCAGAATTTAGTGAGATAATCTGTAATTTGTGTAGAAATACATTCGATTGTCCCCAGTCGTGTTTTGTTCACTACACTATAACTGATATTACTTACACATAATATGAATGAAATATTCAAAATGAAAGACAAGTAACATTTGAAATAATAACTATCTTATTCACAATTCATTATATGAATGAATCTTCATCACTTTGTTTAATAAAGATGATAACTGTGTTAAATAAGAGAAAATAGTAAATTAGTGATATTTGGTTTTGAAGAAAAATTATTTAAGCTTTATGATGTTAGTGTGAGTAAGTCACTAGATTGGAAGGTATCTTCTTCTGGATAGAATAGTTAGAATATAACAAAATGTTTAAAGTTGAAAATTGACTTTTCCATTTAGATACTGTATAGATAACTATTTTGTCACTAATGACTAGAATAGTGTAACTATTGTCAATTTAATTAGTACTTCCTGATAATAAGGCAGAGCACCATTAAAGATCCAATTTAATCTTTACTAGTATAATGGGAAAACTAGTTTCGTCTAAAACTAAAGAATGACAGATAAACTTATGAAATATTCGGTCGATCGAAACTAATACCCTCTCCAAGACTGATTTTGTGTAAAGGTTTTTATTATTTTGAAAAATAATCACTAATTCCACCAGTTAAAAGCTTTAAAATCTTTTTAACCAGTGATCTTTAAGATTGACATTTTCATTGTTACGTGGAATTGATATCGATATTCCATAAGAAACATGAATACAGTATCTACTCCAGTGTGACGTTTCCTTTATGTAAGTATACTATAAGCAATAATTTACTTGCGATAAATGGTCAACTTCCATACACACTGTGGTGGTGAGTGCTCCATCGGCGTCGTGATTTAGTGGTTGTTCACATGTTTAGGATCAGATTAAATTTTCGACATTACAAGGAGTTTCATCTACAAAACCACATATCTACAACAAATTTATGCATATGCAGTTGCAATAACAGAACTTTATGACATTATATGTATATACATCGTATATAAGACTTTTTCGATGATGAATTCCCTAAGTGACTTAATAAATAAAACATGGCATAAGTAATTATCAATAGAATTTATATACCTGTATTTCGACTCTTCATCTGTTTTATTTTCATCATTAATGCATGAAGAAGCTTGAGAATAAAGATCTTCTAAATTTACTTGTTCCCCAAGTGAATTATTCCAATTCAAACTGGCAATCAAAATGGATACCCAAAAGGGTTCGGACCATTGGCATATAAAGTTTTGTAAAATATCATTACCAGCTTTGTGAGCTAGCCTCAAAGTACCATAAGCAATACGGAAAACTAGCTTTAATGTAATAAGAAAGTGAAAACAGTTATAAAACATTGGATACCAAAAGCAAAATACATCTAATCAAACGATAAAGAAAGTTTCAAAGAATGATTAAAATATTGATAGTTACATTTTTCAAAAATGAAGATTATTCTTCATTTTTTGAATATTCTATGAGGATCTTTAAACTATTAGTTTTAGTCTAAATCCACCCAGTATCTAAACGTTAATATTTTTTTCTAATGATGTCAAACAAAATGAAAAAACTTATCAATGATGATCGGCATATACAACAAGTGTGACGTTATTCAAAAAATTCCCCGCCACATCGCCGTACTGCAATTAACTATTATTCAAACACATCACTGTTCAGAGTTATTCGCCAGCTACTAGTTTGACAGAGATTGATATATAACTTCAAAATCCTCTAGTGTAATATTAGTACTTTAAATATAAATTTCTATTAGATAAGTATGACAATGAAACATTTTAAACGAAGCAAACTTAGTGCTTAACATGTTCGATATACAATTAGCAGTATTAGAAACTTGACACGATATTATTGTCAAAGTAATCAAAGTGAAAAAAAAGTGAATGATTATTGAGACAATGATATCAAGTGTGATGGAATATTTCAAAACAACAAGATGATTTCTTGAATTTGTTACATACTATTATGGTTATCATGAATATAATGAAGATACATATATCAACTTAATGAATTTGTTTGTGATGAGTGAATTAGTAACTAAGATCATTTCGGTATTATAAGTGAACAGATTGATTAATGGCCAGTAAATTGAAGTATTCGTTCATTTTTAAGAGATATACACTTATTAAAAAGTAATTAAATAAATAGCTTAGCAATAAGCTTTAATTTAGCTAATTATGTTATTCATTAAGAATTTCAATTTGGTCAAAATACATTTTGACTTCTTCCATTAAACAGTGAATGAAGGAAGAAGCTTCAGATGTAACAATAAACAGATTGAATTAACTGTAGAAAAAAGTAAAATTCATAGCTTATTTTTCAAACTTGAAATCATGAGTCAATTCAAGCTAGACCACCATCGAAAGCCTGGAAGCATTGGATGGCCGTTTCGTCATATTATGGGACTCCTCAGCAGTGCGCATCCACGATCCCGCACTCGCGAGATCCGAACACAGAACCTACCAGTCTCGAGCCAGAGCCCTTAACCGAGACTGGTAGGTCCTGTGTTCGAATCTTGCGAGTGCGGGATCGTGGATGCGCACTGCTGAGGAGTCCCATAATAAGACGAAACGGCCGTCAAGTGCTTCCAGGCTTTCGATGGTGGTCTAGCTTCAATCGACTCATGATTTCAACTTTGAAAAATACTGAAATCTCCACAAATCCCCTTCTGATCATAGCTTATTGTATATTTGATGGTTTTTTATATATAAATATTTAATATTTGTTTTTATAAGGTATGATTCTACCCACAACATTTGAGTATGTGTGTGTTGGGCAATAATTTGTTCCAGTGAACAATTACTGAAGATGTTAAACTTAAGTATTTACGATGACATTAGCTAAAACCAAGTGTACCATGACACCAGTTATTCGCAACCCCGAATTTAATACGATGAACGATATACATATACATACAATTTCAAGAATGACAGTTTAATTCATACTATTTAACTTACATCAGCCTGTTCACCCGAATCCACGCGACCAAGTAATGATTGTTTCAACAAATTACTAACCGACAGGTCTCCACCAGTTTCCATTAAACGTACACTATCTCCAACTAATATCGGCATTAAATTAATTAAATCTGGTGACCATGATGAATTAAGACCTTCAACTAAACTTGCCCATAAACGAATAGCTGGTTCAAATAAAGCTTCTGAACCATTTATTTGTTTTTCTTCTGCTTGATATAGTGACATTTGAATTAAACGAATTACAGAACTGTGTATTAATGTATTGAACTCAGGGAGAAGTGAAGAACATTCATTGAATCCATTAAATTCAGTAACCAGAAGACAGACAGTATTTAGAATACTAGCTCGTAGTGCAGCACTTAAACCACCTATTAAGGTGTCAAAATAAATTAACATTAGACAACGAAATAAATAAGAAAAATAACATGAAAATTATTATCAGTGACTCAACAGGAAAGTTCATCATGGTATGGCTAAAATCCAGAATAAATACTCTAGTTAATCAAAATATATTAGATCGTGTGTTTACTTTTAACTAACTTCTTGATCACAACTGTTACTAAATAAACACGATGATCCGGTCAATTTAACATGATAACCCAACTGAACAAAACTGACTAGAAGGCCTATTCCACGAGATCCTATAATGACAGTCTGTCTGCAGAAAGGTATGATGAAAACAGTACAATTCAAGTATTTTTGACTATAACGTGATGAACCCGCTACGTTTCTGTCAACACCTACAACTCTGGAGATAAGTATGAAGTGTGTCGATTTAACGAAGAGAGTGTAAGCTGTGCAACAGTTTGCTGTATATTACTGTATGAATATGAATTGTAGTCTATGAAACCATCAGACATGTGTCGGTTATAAGTAACCAATATGTATCCGTGAACAACTGTTCGCAAGTCATAGAACCACTGGGCGACCGATGATGACCTTAAGTGTGCAAAGCTGGCAAAATGCGATGCATAGGTTAGTGAAGTTGAAAACGTTAGTCCGGTGACATGATCAGGATATGCATCACCCATTATCACTTGCCATCTACCCCAATGAGTTCTGATCCCGGGCTAAAGTCAAGATGATAAAAGATTAAGGGATGTTTGAACGAGGAATGGCATCGACCTATCAGGTGATTGACTGTTCATTTGTGTTGTGTGCATAGAAAACATGAGAGTTTATCGCATATAAACTATTGTCTCAATAAATTTATTTTTTTCAGGTTGAATTGTTTTAGCCAGCTCACTAATTTGCATCATAACCTGGTTTCGAAACCACTAAAATTCCAGTTCTTATATATAAATATAAAATATAAGTTCCGAAAGTCATCGCTGACTACAGTACTTGGACAGGTCAACAATGTTTCTTTATGCTAGTTTTTAGATAGATTTTTGCCAAATAGATAAATAAGTATCTGTCAAACTCAAAGAATAATATCTGTACTAAATAATAAAGATAATACTGTAGTTGGGCCGGTGACAAACATTGTTCAACATAACAGAAAGTAATACTGACAAGATAATTCGTAAATTAGATATAAAAGGAAATCAACAAATGTAAAAAAAGAAAACAAAGCTGAGCATGTACACTTTTGCATCATCATTATGGAATGCCATAGAATATACAACAGAATGGGAACTATTACGGTGTAGTATATTGTTATTATGATGTTGAAAACTTTCACATATTATGTTCCAATTTGTTACATTATAATTGACTATCAATACATTAAATTCAAAATTTTTATGCCCTTGTACGGCCGAGAGTGGGGAGAGTACGCTCTCTCTCTCTCGAAATGCTCTCACATGGCCACGCGTATACAGCTTCTGACAGGGAAGTCCTACTCACTGCCTTCTCGTGGCATTACTGTTGTTTACGAAATTGAGAGGACGAAAAGCGAATTTCCGGCGCTTTAACCGGGTTGGTGGACACGGCGAGTCCACCTAGGGGAGTTGGAGAACCCTGATTCCGAACCAATGGTGCACATGGGTTTCAGTATCCTGAGGGAACAAATGGCGTATGAATCAATCTTTGGTTACCGGCTACCATGGGACTGAATCTCCTTACGATGCTCCACTGCCTTGTGGATCAGACCTCTAGATCAAAGGCGTTGGATGTGGCCCCCTAAGAAAACCACCTGTTTCGGTTTGGACAGTATCACAGCCCTCACGCAAATCAAATGATATTTGTGTGGCGCATATATATCTTGTGCCCCTTTGTATCAATAGTTATTTGTTTAAATAATCATTAATATAATATACAAATGATTATATATTGACTTACTAAGATTCCATAAATGATTCAAAGTGTTTAGAATTGGAGTAATGAATTGAGGATAAACAATTAAATTAATTTTATGAATTAATTTTCCTAATAAAGTTAACATATACATTTGTGTTTCACATTCTTTAACATCCTAAATGTAAGGAGATGAGAGAAATAATACAAAGTTTTATGGCTATTTAAAAAGTTCTCAGTATTGTTTATAACGTTCAAAAGTTTATATTGGTGTTTATGTATATTAATTCATATGCAATATCTAATTAATACAAATAAGATCTCTTAAATCTTAACAGAAGCTGAAAAAAAGTTAAGCCTTTGCTTGTTAGTCGATGCTTATGAGAAAATCTTAAGAATTCCCTGATGCAATAAATATATACCTTTGCGATCGAAGTAGACCAACCTGCTACAGTTTGGGCATCTGGGAAGTATCACAGCCCTCATACAAATCAAATGAGATTTGTGTGGCGCATATATATCTGGTGCCCCTTTGTACCAATATTTATGTGTTTAAATAAATAATAAATAAAAAGTAGACCAGTGTATAAATTACTGTTCATAATGACAATTCAAAATTTAAAAGGTCTTAATAATCACCTAATAAGGAGTCAAGTATTGTACAGAGAACTAAAACTGAAGTAAAAGAGTTCGTCGCCTTTTTCTCTCATCGATTGTGATAAGCAAACTTAACGGATAAAGAAGGTTAGAGGCCAAAGAAGTTAGTCATTAACGTATTTGGATTTAAAATTTGACAGCATAACGTTGAAAACGCAAATATACTGCATTATTTATGAAGCAATTTTATGGATATGTAGTTGCTTAAGTTCCCGTGCAGATGAACTTAGAGCTTTATGATTAATAGATGGTTGAACATAATGCTAATAAATCCACTATGTCCTTCTTCAGCAGGAACTCGGATAACTTCATTAGCGTGAGACTGCTTCATGAATGACTAAGTATGTTGGCATTTTCAAAACTTGAAGTTTTGTTACGAGCAATTGTTCGAATAGAACGTCGACAAATCTAGGGTTTTTGAATACAACATAGCACTAATGGTCACCGCTAAGCACCATATAACGGTTTTTAAAGAGTTTATTTTGTTAGAAGTAGATTGTTAAAAAGAATTCAGACTGACTTTTAGGACAGTTCTGTTATTAATTAATGTCACATAGTAAGCAAATAAATGTTAGTTTAGAGTTACACCAACTTGCTGAGAGATAGGAATATCACTTAATTTCACAACTGCTTGTTGATGAATTTCCGAACGGGTCAAAACTGAACAATTGAGCCAAATTCACAGCTTGACACGTTCAAGATGAAAAATACTTTGTCGCGTCGGAAAAATCTCACTCTAAGAAGTGAATTAAGTAAACTTACAACACAAAAACTAATGGATATCAGTTTAATAGTCTTTAGGTAAAATGATTGGAGATTCTATGGTTATTTCCGAAAGGAGTTAAAAAGAAACAACACTGAAGATTTAAAAAGTCAGAATGAAGTTGTCTGACACTCATTGAACTTCAATGATGTCAGTTAATTTATTGAGACTGTTAAATTACCAAACTGGATAAAATCACCGTCTATTGAAGAGTTCAATATACCACAAGCTTAACCTAACACAAGCCAACACGAGCTTTGCTACATACTGCATAAACATTCTCATCAACCAGTCAGTTCGATAAAATAACTTCCGGATGTTAAATAACTGGGAACGATGAATTCAGTCACAACGTAAAACAATCCAAGATGAAAGCTCAAGAAAGATATTGACTCAAAAGTTTTAGATAAACGCTAACAACTAGAATACGTGCCTCTGTATTATGGCCACTTATGATGGAACTAGTGACAGCTTCCTTCTAGAACGAGTTTGACTGCCACACTTGATTCCACAGAGATTACCGATTCCGATTGCTGAAGAGAGCTAGTTAACACGAAACTTGGGTTTAAAGCTTCTTACCGATTACCTCTAAACAATTAACACTGGAGATTTCCTAGCATTATTTTTATTGTTGTTGACAGATATCCAGGTCGTTGGTGGAATTATTATAACTGTCAGATTTAATTGAGACTTCAAAATAATCATGAGTGAAAAAGAAAATCCTTCCAGCGCGTTTAAGTTCACACATAAAAATTATAATACATTTACAGATAACTGCGGAATTCATTTGATCTGAGATTTGAGAATATATAAAAGAAATTCATAATGGAATCTTTCTTACCTGGATCAAAAAAAGAGTGCCATTTAGTAAATTTTCAGCATGTAACACCAAAATATCCTCAGGAAATACTGATACTTCCAGAAGCCACGTAAGACTGTATGCAGCCGCTAGTCTGATGCACATCATTAATTGCTTTTGGAAAACATTCTGATTCCACTTAGATGAACGATTCAAAAATCGATTGATATGTGAAAGAGCATCATTACAGTTAGGTTTCAGTGATGAACTACTCATGATTTCAATAAAATATGTAAAAATATATTTAGAGAAAATAAACCAGTAAATTTCACAACGAATATGTTATCAGTTTAATATTCATTTGTGGTCTTCTAACGTACTCATACTAATAGGCTAGATTGTTTTCCTTGATAAAAGTGATTAAGTAATGGCAAATTGATGCAGATTACATATCAACCCTCATACGAACACAATCTGTTCATAATAATAAGGTAATATAATAACTGAGTAACTTTTACAACACTGAGAACTGAAGAAACAATATTCTACAGTTCCATGAGGTAAAATATGTCATAAAGTTAAAATTATAGAAAGAAACTCAACTCTTACTCGTTAGACAAACATCTGATAAATCAACGATGCTTCACATGGTGTCCAATGATTTATTTAACCGACTAACTACATATGTTTTCACAGATTTACTAACTCCAGCCACGAGGGCAGTGCTTTTTAACACGAGAAAATCAGGCTGGCTTCAGTCAGTCAGTCAGCTACAACGTAGGACCAGGCACATATATGCATCGGTCCAACTTGCCATATCTTGTTAGCACAGCAAGATGAACACCGGATTCATAGAGATAGTTAATTTACTGGTGGTAGTATATAAAGGATAGGTTGTATATAAGGATATAGTATAGGAAGGAAGAAAGTTATGAAGCAATTTTAATCTAATAGTTTAGGGGAAGACAGAGAGTGTATACACCTTCGCCATTGTGATCGATTCTGAGCCATGTCACCTAGAGTCTCCAAACATTGGGTTACGATAGTCACGCGGACCCCAACTAAGTAGTCTGCATCTACCAACATGGCTAGGACCAGAAGTTAGTGACTTCAAGCTCTCATGCCACGTTTTGGTTTGGCGGCCCTAACTCTTTTCCAACCATCCACTACACTGGTCAGCATAGCGCGTCGTGGTAATCGGTGTTCAGGCATATGCAACACGTGGCCCAACCATCTGAGTCGATGAAGATTCATCACCTCATCAACTGATTTACCATCATTCCCTAATACCCTGTGTCTAACCTCACTATTACTTACCCGGTGATCCCAGCAGAACAGTCAAAAACTCCACAGATTAGTCACATGTCTTGGAGTAAATACTGAATGCGCTTATCAGCCTAATTTTTCCCCATTGTTAATAAAAAGTCATAGTATACAGTGGTTTAGAATCCGTGAAACATTGTTCTAACATCGATCAGTGAAGATTCATAGCACGATTACATGAATTAATGTTACTGTCTACATCTTTAGGCCAATATACATATATAATCAAAATACTGCTTTATTCTCCTAAAACTTCGATAATAAATGTTAACATACTTACAACTCCACATCTCCTGGTGGGATACATTGTACACTGTAACGCGGCAAAAGTGATAGAGTTCGAGTTAGAATTATAACAGAAGTAATTTCATTTTCCATAGGTTGTGACCCCATGCGATCTTGTATCGAATGTCCTACTACCAATCCATCAGCTATAAGCTGTTCCGCTAAAGTGACCCAATTTGGTTTAGTTCCAAAATATGGTAAACACAGTTGTACAAATCTCATAACAGATTCAAAGATATATGGTTTATTTGTTCCAGGATTAATTGACTAAAAGAATAGAAAATAATCTGATTATACAAACCCAGTTATAATATGATTATCAGACATTCAATTTGGTAAACCATTCACAAATTTTGCAATAAAATGTACAAAGGAAAATTATATTTAACACTAATGTTATAAACACCAAAAGGCTATGAAACAGACAAACATTTAAAGAGTTTTAATCTTTACCTTAAGTTTCGCTAACAGTAGCGCATCAGAAAAGTATTTCATCAGTTCGACTGAATGAGTGTTTAATATATTTAGTTTTGAAGATAGTCGGTCACAACGTAGAACCTGGTACGTACGTACATCGGTTCAGGCTCCCATACTCCATTAGGTAACAGAGACGAAATTGTCAGGCAAAATCCCAGAATAGTAGAGGTAGTATCAGTGGTAATGGGAAAGATTATCCATCGAAAATACAATTCGAGATGAAAATATAGATTAGTGAAAACAAAACACAAAAATAGTTATGAAAAATTCGGGGAAAGACAAAGAACGGATGCATTTGCACCATTACAAGCGATTTTAAGCCTCGTCATTCAAAGTCTCTAACCATTGGTTACGATAATCGCATGAACCCTAACCAGGTAGTCTGCATCTATTTACATGGTTGTGTTCAATTGTCAGTGACTTCATGAACTGATGTCATGTTTTAGTTAGGTCGTCTCTAACTTTCTCCCAGCCTACTCCTACACCATAAAACATTGCCCGTCGAGGTAGACGGTAATTGGACATACATAACACATGTTCCAAACACCTCAGTTAATGAAGATTGACTACCCCATCAATCAACTTACCATCTTTACCTAGTATCCTACTGCTAACTCAGGTATTGTATACTTGGTGGTCCCAAAATACACGAGCAATGATTTGAACACACTTATGATCGGATAATAGTAACCTGTGAATATCCTCTATTCTTAATGGCCATGTTTCACATTCATAAAGTAGAACTGCTGTGCCTTAAACTCGTCCTTTGGTTAGCAGATGGTTATCTTGCCTGTATCAGCTAAGAAAAACACAACCAGAATGGATCTTTTCAGTTAAAGAAGTGTTTATCAATTATATGGAGAAATTAAAAGAACATTACAACAGGACCACCGTCGGGTGCTGATAGAGGTGTGAGGACGACTGTCATTTCCTGGTTTCCCACGCCGAGGAAGGATATTTTTCCCGAGAGACCTGAAAAAGAGGTTGAATTAGTGATCTTAGCGACATGTGAGTGTGATTGAAGAACCTAAGAAACAACTGCTTGAGGCTGGTTGCATATGTTCTTTTCGTGGGAAGTTTTTGATGTTTTTGGTTCCGCACTTTTAAAATCCTTACCGCCAGAGACGGAAATCCGTGGAGTAAGGTGGAACGCGACATTTTTAGAGTCGATCTTTTCTAATCCCTTCAATTATCAGAAAGCAGAATTTCTACAGATCCTGGCTGCTTGAGGGGAATAACTTACTGCTGTCACATCACTCTAGTCAGCAGTACTACTCCGCCCTCGGACCTCAAGTTGTTGTTTTTAGTCTTATCATTCTTCAATAGACTTGCCTGGTATGGTAGAACATAAAGGAACATTTGTATCAGCCAATATAGCTCGGTTGAGTCATCACGACAGGTAAGCCCAACCACCACGTCAAGGTAGCAGCTACGGTCAGGAGTTTTGGAGAAAAGTGTTCATATAAGAATAAAGTGGTGCTAAGCTGAAATCAGACAAGCGCAGGTTTATCTAACTGCACTGTCTGATAAAAAATTAAGACTGTAAGACGGAAAATTATAAACCTCTACAAATAATCTGTTGTCTTAATAAAAACAGCTTACTATATTACGAAAAGTGTGGTTCATATCATTACGTATTGTATGGGAATCACCAGTTAGGCATCTACAGTCGGTTATTAATTAGTTTAGTGTCTGATAGCTGGATTATACTAACAAGATATAAGATCATTGAACTTCAATAGCACCAAGTGTCTCATTATAGAAGAATAGTTCAAGCTCAGTACATACAGGTTACGTTCGATAAATTATAAAATGATGACTTTAAAATCGATTCTTCATTTTTTCTAAGAGCTTTCACTCCAAAACCGGTTAAGATTCCCCTACTCTACAATAGTACAGGTAAAGAAAACCAATCAAAACAGAGAAATATCAAGCAGGATGAATAAGGAAGGTATACAGGCATTTAGAGTAATAAAACGTTCAGAATGTTCAGGAAAAGCCATAATGACTACATAAATCTACACTTCTCACCTGAACTATCTCATATAATACTGGGTCCGCCTCCTCATATAATCGGCAGAATATTGTAAAGATAAGTTCTGTTAATTGACGACAAGGTTGGGGTGTTAGCACGTGCTGGGAACTATCAGAGACACCCATTATTGTTTCAATGTTACATACACACAATTCACTTGCTTGATTATCTACATTCCAAAAAGAATTTAAATCAGCATACACCGAATTAGCTTTAGCGTCATGTCCTACATTGATACTGGAAATACCACCCGAAGATAAACAACCCTCTGGATCACTTGTGAAAAACTGTAACTCGTTTGGAGTAAGTATAAACCAATGTTCAAAAAGTGACATCATGAAATACGTCCATTTGTTGCTGATATGTCCACTGGGTAACTGGTAAGGCTGAGACATCCACAGTGCTAGCTGAAATGCATGTTTATTGAATAACGGAGTTACATGAAAATGATAAAAACATTTATATCCAAATGAACTTTGGAGTATACGAGACAGTTTTCATAAAAGTCTGTTAATGGATCAATCAATAAAAAATGGGTAGTAAAAGCAAGTAGTATTTCGATAAGAAATGGCCACATATATATGAAATGTTAGTCAGTCACCATCAACGTAGAGCCTCCCAAGTTGCCATAGCATATTAGCACGAGACGAAAATAGCAAGATGAATTACGAAACAGGAATAAAATAGCAACAATGCTAATGAGAAAGACTGAGCATTTGTACAAAAAGAAGTTTGCATGATGAAATGCCAGTAATAAAGATCTAAAAGGAAATAAATAGTTGATACATCAGTGCTATTATGAACGATTTTGGGCCATGTCATCCAAATTTACCAACCACTGGTCGAAGTTATAAGGTAATTTGGATTTACTAGCATGACTCAAACCAACAATCAATGACTTCATGGACTGCGCTTACATTTAGTTTGGTCGTCCCTAATTTTCGTCCAACCCATTACACAAGCTTACGTCACTTGTCGAGGTAGGTGATGGTTATTTAATTATTCAAAATACGTGTAGACTACATGTGAGAAAACGTTCTGTAAGACATCTCTTTACAAGTCAAAATAAACTTAACAACCCCAAAAGATTATCTGGACCATAAGACAGAAAGTAAGTCAGCTGTATAAATGCCTTAGTAATGCCGAGGGTAGAGTTCTCTCTCCCTCCCGAAGAACTCTCACGTAACCACACGGATACAGCCAGGGAAGTTCGACTCACTGCCTTCTCATGGCGGGGGTGTTGTTTACGAAGTTAGGAGGACGTAAAGAGGATGTCCGGCGCTTTAACTGGGTTAGTGAATATGGAGGACCCACCTAAGGGAGATGGAAAACCATGATTCCAAACCAATGGTGCACATCGGCTTGAGGATCCTAAAGGAAAATGGCATATGAGACTACTGTTGGTCACCGGATGCCATGGAACTTTATCTCTTAGCGTTGCCCCACTGCCTTGTGGATTAGGCCTCTAAGTCAAAGGCTCGAGGAGTAGCTTCCTAAGAAAACTACCTGCTTTGGCTTGGCAGTATTCTAACCCCCACATAAATCGAATGGCGAAGTCTGGCGCATATCTATTTCGTGCCTCCTTATACCAATGTTTGTGTTTAAATAAATAATAAATAAACTAGGAACACACGAATCACAAAACCACACATCAGAGGTATTAGGCCGCGTCGTTTTAACTAGACATTTTAATACGCTTCAAGTATTATATCCTATCTTTTCAGATGTACGTCAGTGTAGTAATCTTAAGTGCTCTTGCAACTGGCTTAAATTTTGTACTGTCGAATATAACTTACATAAATAATCTACATAACTCCGTGCTATTAAGACTAAATCTTTGCGTGCCTCTGTGATATAAGTGTGAAACCTGGTTGATTTCTGAAATATATTAGGTAACTTGATTAATCACTTCAAAGAGCAGTGCCTGTGACAGAAAAGTTACTTTTTGAAAACCCATAAGACGTACCTTACGCTTCCCCTGTTCAGTGAGTTCGACCTGACCTCCGTATTTTGGCGACTTGCAACAAAGCACGCTGTAAGTAATTCCCAAAAGCCACTTCACTGCACACCCATCCTTGTAATTCAATTGTACATCACCAGAATACGAAACAATTATTAAAACATGCTCTAATATATGTTCAATAAAGCAATCTCTGGTTTCCAGAGGACAGGACAAAAACAAAGCAAACAATAACTTTGATACACGTCGACGAAACACAAACATCAGGGGGGATTTGTCAGTGTCCAGTGTACTTTGAAACGCTAATTCCAAGGCCAGAAGAGCAACCGTAAAAGCACCTTCATAGATCTCTGTTTTATTGACTAGAGCCGAGATGTCATTTTTACCAACCAAGTTAAAACATGAATAAAGTAACTTCGAAAGTTTTATACACGGATCAATATTCACTTCTAAATTTGTGGACGCATTTTTGAAGCAACTTATAACACTTGGTAATAACTTCGCGATCGTGATGTTAAAAGCGCGGCGCCGTGCAGGCAACCTGAAACTTGCTGCAGCCTTCAGTCCAGACCGCAATGAAGACCATGCGTGCCAACACAAAAGATTATCCCACAAGGAGTCTGACCAATCATTCTTTAGCCACTCAATTTTTACGTACCTTGCAGTAAGCTCAGCGACAAGTCCACCAATTCTTGGAATATTTTCAACTAGATTGGTAAAGCTATTTTCCGTACCACGGGATATATAATCAAAAAATAACATCTCCACTTTCCTTTTGACATTAGGATCAATACTATGCCGGATTTTGACATCAAACACCATATTTTTGAGATAGATAAGCCCCAAAAAACGTCCATCAGTAGATAAACGATCATCGCTAGAAAAAACACACGATGCTATGGCCGAACATATATTATCACAATTCTCTCCTGATTGAGTGACCAAAGTAAGATGCTGACTTGCAGGTACCATTAGATTTGGATCATCACATGCTGCAGAATTAAGTAAGCTAATGATATCGAGACTCATCAACACAATGACGCAACGGAAAGGTCGCGGCGCAACAAACTCAGTGACGCAACAGTCAAAATCCGCTGTTGTTGAAAATGGTTCAAATGGTTCAGGACGGAATAGAAGAAGCTTTCGCTTAACGGGCTTCCGTGTCTGGTAGCAGTGGATCACCAATACCTCCAAGCAAATACCTAGGTATATGAACGATAATAGAGGAAAAAAGAATTTGGTACATCATCATATATTGCGTGCTATTTAAAAAGGACAGTGGTATTTTTCCTCGTTGAGTAAATTCTATTGTTTTGATCGTTATTAACGTATCAAGACTACTGTTTATACTTTGATTGAATTTCTTTCAGTTAAAGTATTCGACTAGAGTATCATTTTTGGTATCTTAAATAGTTTATCATCAGTACTCTAGAGTACCTTGTTTTTATATTGTATCTGTTAGTACTTTGGTCCTAACTATTTACAGTTTTTTTCTACTTTTAGTCAAAACTCACTTTCGCATCCTAAAATGACTGTAAGGTGCAACAAAAGCATTTGCCACCGCCCAGGATGTCGATATCCCGTTGACAGCAGCATGCAGTGCGATGAGTGCAAAGGCTGGTACCACAAAGTTTGCACGAATCTAACGCCTGCGGCTTTCAAACGGTTTAGTAAGCATGGCTGCATATGGCTATGTCAACAGTGCTGTATGGACGCAAATAGCCTGGTGACCGAGGCCATCTCAATGATCAATGCTGCGAAGAAGTGTCTCGGCAAGTGCGGTCGGGACACGTCGTTCAGAACTCGACCTGTCGACACGCAGATTGATGTAAGGCAGGCACAGGTGAGTCCAAAAAATGCTGACTCACATCGTCCGAAGGAGGAAGGACAGCCTCCAAAGAGGTCTGTCCCAACCAGAAACTCGCGCAAAAAAGTCTCTTCTGCCTCCCGTATCCAAAATGATACCCAGAAGGGAACTTCCGGAAGCCGAAACCGCAAGGCTCGGTCAGTTTCCAGCGAAAAAGATGACCTAACCTCCCAAGTCGTCCTCAACCCTCCGGATTCCCATAGTACGCCTGACGCGACTGTGGTTACTACTCCAAAGAACGTCGACGATTGAGTACGGGTCGTAAGAAAAAAAAGACAAAATGACGTGAAAGGAGATCCTACCACCACCAAAAAAATCAAAACGCCGAAGTCTGATCACAGCGACAGATCAGTTATTCTCCATAGAGTCAGGGAGAGTGAAAGCTCGGAACCAAAAGCTCGTTTTGAGCACGACATTGTGTTGATAAAACAACTACTCAATCAAGTTATGCCCAAAAACATCCCCGGAGTCACCTTGCTAAAGGTATATAGACTAGGAAATCTAGCGCATCTGAAACCAAATCAGTCTAGACTACTCAAAGTCGTTTTTAAATCCTCAAACGAACGTGACTTAATCTTAGAAAATGGACACAAATTAAAGGGTTCACGAGTCTTTCTCCGTAAGGACTTACCGTTGGCGGACCGTGTTAAAAGACGGGAAGCCAAAAAGGAACTACAGCTCAGATTAGACGCTGGCGAAAAAGACCCGAAAATTGTAAATTTTCGGGTTGTGAGGCTTCGACAGAGGATGATGCCGAAGCCACTCTGGGTGAAGCACGAGGCCACCTAAATAGGCTTCGGATCTGTTATACCAACGCCCGGAGCTTACTCAATAAGCTATAGGAACTAGGTGTACAGATTGACTCAGCTAGGCCAGACATAATCGCAGTCACAGAAACATGGCTGACGCCATCTATAGATAGTAGGGAACTTGATTTCGAGGGTTTTACATTAGTAAGGGCCAACAGAATACAAATGCGTAAAGGAGGGGGAGTAGCTCTATTCATTAGGAATGCTATTCCATTCACCATTATCGACAGTGTATTCCACGAGAGTAGGACGCATGAATTAGTTATCTGCCGCCTAAAATGCAAGGTACAAGAGTTACTGCTTAGTTTGATCTGTCGCAGTCCAAGCTGTGAGGCAAACGAGGTTCTACTAAGCAGTCTCAACACTTTATCACGAAGTGATCGATGTCTAATCCTAGGGGACATTAATGCACCCATGGTGGACTGGGGAAATCTGCAGACTGAATCGTCAGCAAACTCCTTCGAACAGGAACTAGTTGATGCGGTAATCACATGTACTCTATTGCAACACGTGAAGGAAACAACTAGGTACGACCCGGGTTCTGCATCATCCTTACTAGATCTTATATTGACTCAATATGATGATGACGTTGCAAACCTGGATTACATGCCACCCCTAGGCAAAAGTGATCACGCGGTTTTAAGCTTAGACTTCCATATAACTGTCGAACACGAGCACGCCTCAGCTCAATCCAGATCTAACGTTCGGAAAGCAAACATAAGGGGCCGAGAAACTCTCCACCGTGGTTCAGTAGGGAGGTTCGCATCCTTCTCCGTAAAAGAAGGGAAATGTGGGATAGATTTAGGTTACTTGGGACTGACGAGGTAAAATCTCAGTATCAAAAGGCTCGAAATACCTGTGCCTCGACCCTCCGTAAGGCCAGAAAGCTGTACGAAGAGAAAATCGTTAGGGAATCCATAGAATGCCCTAAACGCTTGTATTCGTATATAAACCAATGGGCAAAAAGAAGAATAAACGATTTTGGCAAAGCTCAAGTATTCTCTAAATACTTTAGCTATGTATATACCATAGAAAAACCTTCTCACCAGTCTATGAAAATCCCCCACACAACAACTGGACAGCGTTACCATTAAAGAACTCGATGTCTTTGGTCTGCTAGTTAAGCTTGACATAGGTAAATCCACTGGACCCGATTAACTGCATCCTAGGTTATTAAAAGAATTAGCCAACTTTGTTGCGAACCCTTCAAGCATATGTTTTAATCTATCCATAACCCAGGGTCGTCTACCAAAAGACTGGAAGAATGCCATAGTAAGTCCAGTCTTCAAAACAGGTACAAAACATAAGCCTGGGAATTACCGACGAATTAGCCTAACTAGTGTGGTTGTCAAAATCTTAGAAAAGATTATTCGGAAGGAGCTGTTTAAGTATCTCCATGAAAACCGGATCCTTTCGGAAAAGCAGCATGGTTTTAGAACAGGTTACTCTTGTCTCACAAACTTATTAGTCGCTCGTGAAAGCTGGTGCGCTCTTAAGGACCAAAAATTACCTATAGACGTAGCTTACATCGATTTCAGCAAAGCTTTCGACAAAGTTCCGCATAACTGACTACTATATAAGTTAAGGAATGTCCGGATTGAAGGCAATCTATTGATTTGGATAAAAGATTTCCTAGTTGGGCGTCAACAAAGAGTAAGGGTGAACTCCAAGTTGTCTAGCTGGGAAACTGTGCTTAGTGGAGTCCCCCAGGGTACAGTTTTGGGGCCAGTGTTATTCCTCCTGTACGTAAATGATCTCCCTCGTCTACTATCGTCATAGGTCTTACTCTATGCTGACGATGTCAAGATATGAAGAGCGATACAAAGCAAGGGCGATAGCTTAGAACTTCAAAATGACCTGGAGAGATTATCTGAATGGTCCCAAACCTGGCAATTGCCGATAAACACTTCCAAGTGTATTGTGATGCATATTGGCCACCAGGGTACAGATACATACACAATGAATAACACTGAGTTACCTATTGTTCAGGCACACAACGACTTAGCCGTCATCGTCAGTCAAGACTTAAAGACTACTGCACATTGCGGTGCAATAGCCACCAAATGTTTTAGAACTTTATGGTCCATACGCAGGGCTTTTATGCATCTCGACGCTAAAATGTTTCTGACTTTGTATGCAGTGTTCGTACGTCCTAAACTTGAGTACTGCATACAAGCAGCTAGCCCCTGCCTAAAAAAAGACACTGAACTCTTGGAAAGGGTTCAGAGAACAGCAACTAGGCTGATTCCCGGAATAGCGAAGCTGCCGTTTGATACTAGACTGACCAAGCTAAACCTATTCCCGCTGTCATATAGAAGAATCAGAGGTGACTTGATTACAGTTTTCAAATTGCTTAATGACAAATTTGCACCTGATATGCCCTCATTTTTCTTGTCTTCCAAAACAGAAAATCTACGAGAACACTCCAAAGATTTTCACAAGCCCAGAACGGATTACTTGTCAGCTGACTACTGACTTTCCCATCGAATAATCAAGGAGTGGAATTCATTACCTCAGCACGTGGTTGAGGCTCCATCCGTCGACTCCTTCAAAAGAAAGTTGGATCAGCTGAGAGACCATCATTGCCAGGACTAACACAGGCCATCAAGCCTCCTGTCCTTTCTAAACTGAAACTGAAACTGAAACGTGAAGTTGTTTCTGCAGTTTGTTCTGTTATGTTGGGTCTCCAGTTTCTGGGTGTTACCTCTGAGGTTAGTGTTATGACTAAGCTTAAGGAGATGTTTAAGGGAATGACCAGAAGTATTAAGGATACTGCAAGTCATAAGAAGGTCACCTCTAAGACGCCTGTACTCTAACAGGTAAAGGTTAAGTGATTGGAGGCGCTCTTCATAAGGTTTGAATTTGAGTCCCCGAACTGATTTCGTGGCTCGACGTTGTATACGTTCCAGAGTGTTCTTATCCTTTTGGAGGGAGGGAGAAAATACTATGTTTCCGTACTATAAATGAGGGCGAATAAAACTATGAAAGATTATGTGGAAGATTCTACCATCAAACTGGCCAAAATTGCGCTTCAATGTTACCAGCGCAAGGTTTGCTTGAAAGGCGTTTTTGTCACAGTTCGCATACGATTTCAGGTCGTAGGGTACCAACACTCCTAAATCTCTTTTGACTTGAGAAACTTCTAGAGAGGAGTTACCTAAGTTGTAACTATAGTCTGCAACATGTCGCAGATGGACTATTTTGCACCTTGAAGTGTTGAAGTTAAGTCCTTTGTCGTCTGCCCAACTTTGAAGTCTAGTCAGATCCTCCTGAAGAACTACTATACCATTATGATTACGTATCTCTCTCCAAAGTTTCACATCATCAGCAAAAAGCAATGTCAGATGAAACTT